GAATCCATTTCATTTAACTCCATTTCTTGTATTCCATCGATGTAGTTCTATCGCCTGTAATTAAACACAAAAATTGAGAAATATTCGAGTGAAAACGCCATTTAATCCTCCGTGTGCGTCGCTTTCCAGCTTTTTACCCCGCCAAACTCTTTTGTTATATCTTCAACCGCTCGCAGTTCGTAAAGAATCGTTATTCGACCGGAAATCTCGGAGGAGAGGGTGGTGTTGTGACTATCTGACCGTTCCAGGTCATCAAAATTTTAGTGTTCGCTAAATTCAGGGGTTCGATTCAATAGCCATTCGAGTCTTTTTCATCAACTGCGACGTTAGCCATCGATGCTCTTTGGAATGTTTTGTTGTAGGATGATGGATGTTACTGAAACGTGTGGGTCGATTATTATGTTGAGGCTCAAGTGGTCGTTCCTTCCACGTGTACTAGCGTATCCAAACTCAAGCATATTTTTTGTTTTCGAAACCCCCACCCAACATCTCAATTAATTCAAGTAAGGTATGAAGCAGATAAACTTCTGCTGTTACTGAGAAATAAATTGAGGTTCAAAAGAATACGAGAGGTTGTTTGTTGGATGGAAGTGGCCTTCTGTACCCAACTGGCTGCAGATCTACTCCCCATGCTTCCGTCGTACACATTTTCTGTAAATAATTTACATGCAAAATATGACTTTTTAATTTTACATCTTAACTCTTGAGATCATCTATTGACATTAAATGACACAAAAAGTGATAATGCCTCCTGACTCGAGATGGGAAGGAGGGTGCGTGGCAGAAAGAACATGAAGCATTCATTCTAATTTCGAGACATCCAAGAAGATCGAGTACATTTCAGAGGACACAACATTTTCTTGGTCTCTACATGAACATCTAATTGCATACTGTATCATAATTACAATAGATATTAAAGTTTGTTTAACATCACGTCTTCTCTCATCTCACTATACCCTCATCCTCCATGCCCTAATTCTTCATACCTTAATACCTCACACCTTAGTTCCTCACATTCTCGTACCTTCCCATAGTACCAATAAATCACCTTTTATGTCAGCCAATAGTATTGACAGTGTATATCTGTCATGAAGAATACTTGCCCATATCTACGCCAAGTGTACTATTGCTCAAAGAAATGCCGCGAATCTCGTCGTGCCGTGGCTGTCGTCATTCAGCGATACATCAATGTCATCACCAATACCATTCTTCATGACAAATACATGAATTATACTTTGCATTCTGTCCTCTTCGTTGACTGGAACGAAATTCGTCATGTAAAGTTTCATACTATATAAACTTGAAAGAGTTTTCATCAAGACCATCACAGTTTTCACAGCATGGTGATACGAGATCTCCACTCCATGCGGAAATAATTTGAAATGACTCCTTCAGCGCCTAAACACAAGCTTCGCAGCGATTAGCAAGCGCACAAATTCAGATAATTAAACTTTCCGAAGGTCGGAGTTCAAGATCTATTGGGGAAATTCTTGGTTATCGTACTATTCCCAGAGTCATCACTTAGTCAAAATGTGATTTCCGATGATCTCCTCTCATAGTTTGGATCTGCATAGTCTGTATCAGGTGATGAATCAATAACTTGCATCTTAGTCGGTCAAACATGATTGGAGGACCAACTTAGTTTATTGCGTCTTATAGATTGTTAGAGATGGTGGGAAAATGCTCTTGTCGCCTTGGCTGTCTAATATAGGGTACGCAGTAACGGATTGAATGGAAGATTTCAAGATTTCAATGATTAGAGGTGTTACAAAATTCGAATTTGGGTCAATATCTCAAACTGGTTTATAGTACAACATGGGTATCATTCTTTACAGCAGCTCAGCATCTAACATGAGTTCAACAATTCACATGTATTCAATCTTTGACCTGAGCTCAACAATCCAAAACAATACAATGTACCAAAAGAACTGAGGTATTGGAATTAGTTAATTGTCCCAAGTAAAGCTCCACATTCCAGATGATTCTAATATTCTATTGGTTTTAAGATTCTGAAACGTCTATATGCATGACATATTGTATAAAGCTTATTCTGATCTATCCTAAGTGGAATTGCGCAATCCGAGGGGTTTTCTCTGCCTCATCCGATTGGACAATCGATCAATCCCCACGCTATTTCCTCACGAAAGATCCGCAATACGCTTCGCGTAGGTAGGCTTGGGTACCCCTCGCTTGCAATTTCCCAAATTTCAACACAGATTAAGTTTTCCCCTAAATGTCGCTCCTAAGTAGACAGACTATCGACGTTGGCGAAGAGAAATTTTCATGGTCTTCTTTGGCCCTAAGAAGATGGTACTAAGTTTCTAGTCGAAATAGACATGATAACTCTGTCTATATAAACGGCTCTGAGTGCTCTCCTCTCATCTTCATCCTCATCCACAAACATCTTCTCTCGATATCACTTCCAATATCAGCTTCATCACTTACTTCTTTATATAATTTATTAGATCAACTTTTGAATAATAAATTATCCCTTCTACAAACTACCTTCGCTTACTTCCTTTACCTACAACCATCTTCACCCCTTTCTTTATATAATTTATTAGATCAACTCTTGAATAATAAATTATCCCTTCTACAAATACCTTCGCTTATTCCCTTTACCGACGACCACCCTTTACTCTTTACCCTTTACCGACAACCACCTTTTCCTTTACCGACAACCATTATAATCTACATAATGGTTCACATTGAGCGCCGCGGGCCAGATGTCGCCGGCAAAGACGATAAGTGGCCGGTCCGAAATGTCACTCCTGGCCTGATGACTCAAATCAGGCAGACGAGGATGGGAGAGGTTCTTGACTTCCCGCCCGATACATATCTCCTCGTGCCGACGGGCACAGGAAGATATTACAGGGACATGGTGGTCACCGGAGCTCTTCCAATGGTGTGGAACCACCAAAGCCGGGATTTTCTCATGCAAGAGAATCTCCCACATCTTCACGAGTCTCCTTTGGCTAATTGCCTGACCGTGTTTATTGTGCCAGATCCAGGGCATGCGGAGCGCGAGGCTGCTCAGCGCGAGGCTGCTGCTCGCCGGGCTGCTTCTCGTAGGGCAACCAATCAACGGGCTCTTCAACGGGCTCGTGCACGCCAGACCGCCGGCGCTCCTCCTGCTGCTGCCTCTCGTGCTGCCTCTCTTCCTGCCGCTGCCTCTCCTGCGGCTTTCTCTCCTGCCGCTACCTTTCCTGCGGCTGTCCCTTTTGTCGCTGCCCCTCTCGTAGCTGCCCCTCTCGTCGCTGCTCCTCTCGCAGTTGTCTATCCTGCCGCTGCCCCTCTTGCCCCTGCTCCCGTTGCCGCTGCTCTTGGTGTACCCGCTCTTGTAGCTCCCGCGGGTGGTGCACCAAACAGCCATGATCAAGTTGGCAATGGTGAGCCTGTCGAGGGTAGCCGGGCGTGGTGGGATTCATTTGTTTCCAGCGACGTCACGAGTGAGTGGTGGGAGGAGGAGGATAGGGCAGAGGCAGAGAGGCAGAGTATCCCAATCATATTCCTAGATTGAGAATCTTTCAATATTTGAGTCTTATTCAGACATTGAAAGATTCAATCGTCGGGATCACGATTGGGTGGCAGACAGCGCCATCCCTCACACTACCGGCCATTGATAGATAGACTGCTGGTAGTTGTCGTGATGGCGTTGTTGGGCTTGGTGTTGGCGTTGGCGTTGTTGATTTTGATGTTATTTATATTCTTGATTTTATATTATTTGTATTGTTGATTTTGATGTTATTCGGACTATGGATATTGGTATTATTCGCGTTATTGATTTGATTCTGTTTTTTCTGCTTCGTTAACCAGTATGTTGAATCTGTTTTAAAAATTGTAATGTAATCTTGTTGTTTTCTGTATTCCATCGATGTATAAGTTGTATTGCCTGTAGTTAGATATCCTTTCATACCAAATTGAAACCAAATTGAAACCAAATTGAATTAAAAGATTCTCATTGATACTGTGACGTGAATATCTCTGTCTCTTTGGTGATACCACCTGCTTGCCATATGAAATAAATTGAACCAAGTAACAATAAACTTAGTAAACTTCCCTTATCAGACGACAGTGAGCTGATATCTTATCATGGTTGAGAAGTTGAGATCTGTGAAGTGGCAAAGTAGTAACGGACTGATCAACGAACGAGATGTGGATGGAAGTAACGATTGATGAAAGCGGACAACGAAAAGCACATTTGGCATTAAGATCTCATCACTTCCCAAACTATTCATCTGAAATCCCAATATAATATATCTATATACAACATCCTCTTTGGTTTTGTGAGTGGGTGACGTCGGTGAATTGATTGACCGCCCGAACAAAAATTGTAACTATTGATGATTGCCCATCTAAATACTAAGACAATGTACTACAAGAAGCTCTCTGTCATAAGATATCGACAGATATCTTTCAAAATCTTTTCAACAATCTGTTAAGCAGTTGATTATGATACGAGACCTTCATTGCAATGCAGTGCTTCTAAATCTATACAACTTAATTGATTGGCTGAACCAATTCTCAGAATAACTTCATTGAGTATTTCTCTGCTATGTATCCTTTTCGACTTAACTCATGCACGATTTTTTATTCCTATTGATTCATGAGATTGTTCGAGATGAAGATAGGAAATCAAGCTTTAATCTGATTCCCAGATTAACAGGGCATTCTTATCTTTCTTTTCCACAATCTAAGCACCGCATCGAGGAAGGAACCACTCGCGGTTGTTTCGTTTTTGACACAGCGCATTGCATGGCCTATCGCAATCTTCTTCTTTGTATTTGAAAGCATAGAATGCATACCCAAGAGGTTCTTTTCGGATCGTTCTTCGCGCATAAGATATAACAGGAGACAATGTTTCGAATCACCACTGGCATAACTCTAGAGTCTGTCTTTACTGAAGCCATCCTATCTACACTCTCAAGATCATAGAGAAATCTCAAAATATAAGTTTCTTCAGCTCTACCATAACATCAGAGTCGCTCAAGTCAATCAAAATGCAGTAAGTCTATATCGATTTTTGAGATTGGAAGTAAATACGCTGACATTGGCAGATCAACAATTATACCATCAGTTAATTTAGGAGAGATGGCTCCCAACGCGGACCTTCCGATCTTCAATTCAAATCACTTTGCAAGGCAAGTCATATTCGAATTATTAAAATCGCGATTTTGTCTTGTCAATCTCTTGCACTCTTCCTGGTGGCTCATGTATTCCGTGCCAAGCATTTGAGGGAAAGGGAGGATCATGCTGAAGTCGATAAAGTAATATCTGCGTTGCTTCAGTCTACATACCCTTTTCTCGAATTCATACCCAATCTTTCATCTGAAAGCCGAAAGAAGTTCATGTACTAAACTTGCGCAGTGCTAGTTCGGGATCTGATCACTCGATTACCATTGAAGACGACACTCCCATCTCAAACGGCGAGAAGAGGAATAGTCAAGAACAACCTATCACAAACATCGGAATGTCAAGATATTACGTCTTCAACAACATCTATCTACCCGAAAATCTGAACATTAGAGACAATAAACCTTCCCACAAATATCATGAGGGGCAAGCACAGAACAAAATTAGCTTCGAAAGAATATATACGCATCCCCATGAGAATTTCTCTCGTTATCTATACCACCCTTCCCCAGATACCAAGAACCACCAAGCAGAACGTTTGAACGATAAATACGACCAATTTACGGAGTTTCATTTTCCAAAGGATCCTCACGCACCTTTCATATATGATACTAGGGGTTATCGCGGATACAAGACTCAAATGTTTTCTGAGTTTGCAGCAGTACCAAGAACAAGTCATAAGAATGGGAAAGCTGTGTCTACATCTTTTACACCAATTCCCAAGCTTCTACCTGGTTTGAAGCACGGGCGAAATAAAAACATAGATAAAGGCACCGCAGTACATAGTGGTCCAGTCACCGAGGTCAAACGTCCCTCTGTTCTTGAGTCCAACAATTGGAATGCAACTCAAAAGAATACTGCTACCACTCAGAGCAATAAAGGGATCGATGTTAGACATGCCCGCGTCTTGCAATGTGATCGTGCTACCACTAAGGTGATGATGACTATGACCCACAGTGGTGGTCTTACCAAGCAAGATGAAAATAAAGCTCGACGTACCAAACCACCTGATTTGGCATGTACCACATCTCTTACTCGTGATTTGCCTAATACATGTAGGTATGTCAATGTTAAGCAAGAGGAAGACAGCATGACACCTGTTCGTCATTCCGTTTATAATGAATCCAAAGTCAAACACTCAACTTCTCAAATACGTCCGTTTACCGATAGCGAGTCGATTAATTACAGGACCAAGTCTTTTATTGACCTTACGGGCCCCCTTGAATCTGATTCTTCGTCAAATCATCGAAGTCAGCAGCAATACACAAGCGATCCTGAATCATTGAAACCAGTATCCACTGGCAAGTGCCAAAAGAGAGAGCCTATTATAGACCTAACATTGGATTCTCCTATTAGGAAAAAACCATTCAAGAGGCTTCAGATCACTAATAGTCACCAAGTTAGCTCAGCTCAAAGCCATTATAGCAATACTGCAACTTACGGATCTCATAATCAAAATACCCTTTCTTCGGAATTGAAACTTTGGATGAGTGTCAATCCGGTCAAGCACATTGTTGTTTGTTCCAAAGATTCACCAGATACTTCAGATAGAATATACGACATGAGCAATACAGCTGCGTCGGTATCAGACGATATCATGGCTTTGCTCAACATCAAGGTCAATGATACCAACATCCACTCCGTACATCTCAAAGATCATGAAATCAATTCACCAATTCCATCCCTAGGCAACACTAGCAAAATGCACGGTTACTCTTCTAAAAGTGCATTGGCGTTTGTCTCTACCATTAGATCTGCGGCAATTGGTGATACTATACTCCTGGTGTCATTGGGTAACCATGGTATCTCCAACTCACCTCGCGCATGGGTAGATTTGAGAGAAAATTACCCAGCATACAAGTTCTTGATTGCTATAGAAGAACGTCGAAATCTCAATATACATCGAGATCCCTTGTGGTATATTACAAAAAAACGAAGGTATCTGATTTTTCCCTTACATCAGCTTGTGCGCGTGTGTCTGGGGTTGGAAAGTCCATGTGACGAAGCAAAGTTATATTCGAAATACTTGACACTGTCGAATGATGCACGAAAAGCCCCAGCCAAATCAGAGACAAGAATTGAAAATGGGGGTGATTTCGGCCAACACACTCGGGCTTTGTTATCACGCTGGGCATGTCCCATTGAAGGCTGCGAGATGACTTGGTACAGAAGCCTAGCTGGAGACCAAGCATGGCAAAACCATTGTATGATGGAACACGACGGGTTCCGCAAACTTGTCTGCCCTCTGGCTGCCTGCAGATCCAGTGCATTCCGTGATTACAAGGGGGTTGTTGAGCATATAGAAAATGTACACATCGCAGCATTGGGTTTGGGAGACCATTTTCGTAGCTCGCACGATCGTGACAGAACTCTATCCGACTTTCGATGTACTGAGGATATTAGTAGATGTGGTAATTCACGTTGCAGCTATACAAACCAGCTTGCTCTGGATATTCATATGGAATTTTTTCATCCATATTCAGCTTGGAAACATCGTTTAAATGATTTCCCGAGCCTAGCAGAACAGTTACAAAGCAGGTGGTCAACAGAAGATCTTGAACCAAATGATGGGCTCACTCTGAGTGAAGTTTTTCAATGTATGGATGCGACGGTAGGTAGTCAAGGTACGGTTATAGTGGGACAAAACGGAACGGATCAAGACACACACCATGACATGGAATTCCTCAAGAAATCTTGGCCTTTCATGGCAGATTTTCTACGAGCAACACAGGAGCCTCTCCGAGAAGGATATCAAATGATTTTGCGCAAGATTTAACGAGATTTTAATGCAGGTAATTACTGCCATGTAATTTTCTATTTCGTTTTTAAATATGACATCTAGCATTATTACTTATTAGCTGTTAACTGCACAAATGAATTCCCCGCGAGGAAAATTCTGACGAGATTGCTTGTGCTATAGCTACGTGCTGGTGTGATTATGAAACATGACTGAATATACGCAAGTTGCAGTAAATTTCAACTTCGATTCATCTGGCATGCACACAACTTATTGTTACCCAAAGAGAGCTTAGCTCAAAGACTGACCTGAACATTTATAGTCATGATCGGGCGGCATCAGTTCAAGATACGCATAGCCAACTACTACACTATTTACATTACCTATCACAATCTTTTCAGTTTCTCAATCGCTATATACTGGTGTTTATATTAGAGGAATAAGGAAATATCATTACATGTTCTCAACGAATTCGAGACCAATGTTGGTGTTATCGAGAGCAATGATATATACGTGCGTAGCACCGAGAAGAGGAGTAACGCAGAGAAGAATGAAATACTAGGTAGGTTCATACTCTACAGCACTGTTTATAGGAGTCTGTTGATCTTGATTATTGCACGGAGTGGCACGGAGTGAGGATTTGGGACTTTTGATTGTTTTATTTCTTTAATGGGGATTCAGTGGGTGTGAATGATGGTGATGGTGCTGTTCTTTGAGTGCGTGAGTACTTTTTTTTTTTTTTTGTGAATCATGAGTTTCTTGGGGCAGAATAGTGATTAATGAGATGATTATGAAAATTCGTTTTCTGTCTTTATAGAATTGTCGAGTATGATTCGAAAGAACATAATGCGTGAATTTTCCGTTACCCCCCCCCCCCCCTCGAGTGCGTGAGATATTGTCTTTATCATATTCACCGAGGTGGGTTAGAGAATTAATATCCTACTACCTATTTCTTTGTTCGTTTCCTTTTTTTCACTCTTCGCTCTTGAATTCTGAATGTAGATGGGATGGGTATGCATAAGAAAGAAAAGGAATCTCGGATCGAGAATCGAGATGGGGTGTTCTTTGTTCTCTTGAGATACAAAAATCATTACTTTTTTGTTGTTTGGTAGGTATTTCTAGGAAAGGAATTTTGAATTGTGTATATTCATTCTCATATGTACACTGAAATTATTCACAAAGAAATGGTGTTATTTGACTGCAGTTGAATTTCGAAAGCACATTCAGCTTGCTTCATTACGCACGGAAGGGATATACATTCATAGTTCACGATTTCTGAGTCAAAGATCTTGGGTTGTGAGTGAGTTGAGTGAGGACAAGGATATTGGGAATAACGGGATTATCTTTGCGAACTTGTCACTACGAGGTTATTGTTACCTTTGAATTTACCGATACGGATTTAATACTGCGAATTTATTACTGCGAACTCATCACCGGAAATCTGCCATCGAAAACCTATCATCAAAAATCTATCACCATAAATCTACACATCACTAGTCTAATATCATAAACCCACCATCGAAAACACCACCTCACCTCCACCCACAACCCACAACCCACAAACCAAACCTCCAACCCCAACCGAAAAAATGTGCACAGAATGGGCCTGGGAATACAAATGCGGACACCAGAAACCCGAGCCCGACTCGGTCACCATGAAACAGAACGACAACTGTAAGGATAATCTCCCGGCGTTTTCGAGAGAGTGTAAATTTTATACGAAGGAGTATACGACGTTTCAGGAGGTATGTCCTGCGTGTGAGGCCGCGGCGGAGAAGAAGGAGAGGGAGAGGGAGGTGGATATAGATGATAGAAGAAGATAGGAGAGGGGAATAGGAGAGGGGAATAGGAGGAGAGGAATGGAGAAAAGGGTATGGAAAGAGTGGTAGGGAGAGAGTGGGGAAAGGGTAGGAAGAGAGTGGGGATAGTCGGTGGGGAGGGTAAGAAAGGGAGATTTGGTGTACATGATGGATAGGCTGAGCAGAGGGGTTTTTGGAGTGGGAAGTAAAGAGGAATGGATATAGGAGGTGTCAAATTGAAAAAAAAAGGAGCGGGAAATGCAGGTTTGAGGAGAATGTGGTAGGGGGCAAAGGCTTAGTGTAACGGTATTTTAAGGATAAAGAATGATATGGGTAGAGTATGGGAAGGGAAAAATCCAATAGGATGGATGGGGTAGGAAATAATAATGTCAGCGTGATTTTTATTCTTTTTGAAAAAGCTATCTTAAGGGAATTGGAAGCGAAGGGGTGGAAAGTTTACGGGTAGAAGTGTACGGCGGTGGATCGTGAAAAAAGTTGGTTGTGATTTATGATTTTTTTGACGATTCTTCTTTTGTGAGTGTTATATGTTGGAGTCTGGGTATGGAAATGAGTCTGATGGAAAGTAATCTTGTAATATTCTTAATAATCGTATATGGTTTGCGGCTTTTCAATATTTCCACTCTTATTAAAAAAAACAGGTGTAGCAAGAGCGCCAGATATATTCACGGGTCTATTTTTCACACAATTTCATTGTTTTAATGGTGAAAACATAAAAAGGGTGATCCAATCATCAGATTGTCAAATTTAGACTGAATAATTGTATGAACAATTGATATTCAGATAAATCGATGATATATAGCTGCTAAGCTACCGTGGCATTTGAAATACAACCCATGGAAGTCTAAGAAAGCCGGTGCAGCTATGGCACCAAGATAGATTAGAAAAGGTTAAAGATCGCATTTTTGGGGAATATCTTAGAACCACGTTTACATGATTGGATGGTCATCTGGGAAACTGTTCCCTGCAGCGGAATAGTTAGCAGATATAAGCAAAGATGCATTCAACGCAGCTTGTATTATGTGAAAGATGGGAAGGAAAAGAGATATTAAAGCCAAAATTCCTCATCTGTTCCATGGTATCTTTAATTTGAGAATCTTAACCTCAGAAAAGGACCAGCTTAGATATCGGAATGAGGAGGATGAAGGAGAATAAGTGTGGCATGGCTTTTCAGGACCAGCAATTCATACCTCCTCACAACCTCTCCCTACCAATCGTGCTACCTTGACGTCCTATCCGATTCCTATAATTCATGACAACGAGAGGATTCATAACAAGCAAATCATCCAATATATCACTACCCACTAGGTAGCTGTCATGCTCATCTATTACGATGGAGACGAGAAAAAAGCAAGAATCTTGGGCGAGGACAAAGTATGTCAAAGTACTTCAAAGTACTTCAAAGTACGTGAAAAGAGGGGCATAGCTGATTCACTTGATATCAAAGCATGGGATTGAAACAACAAACGACACGCCGTATTGCATCTGTAGAAATCATTTCCGAAGAATTGGTTCGGGTCCGAAACATAAACCAGTGAGACGGTATGAGATGCTTTTCCCCCCAGTGACGCAGCCATCGACAGAAAGATGAGTGCATTATCAATCCACTTGGAATTTCTTCGTCACGTATGACGAGAATGGAAATACTGACGTGTATTCTTCCATTGTTCAAGACGCCTTTTATGACAAAGCTGTTAATATTTGTTGTACCACACTGCAGCCGCGCCCCATTTGAGTCTTTTTTTTTTCAGCAGAAGCTCAGAGATTGTGGAAATGCGCCAGAATATCCAAAGCTTTATGGCCACTACAAGCGACGACCAGAAAGGCGAATCGAGATGCACATTGTTCATGACGGGAAGTAGAAGCCACGTGTGAGCCAGCGGTGCAGAAGGTGACTTGGCGTAGACCCGAGTGTTTGTTCCTGCTGTCTGGTTTTGGAAAACCCCACATGTTCTATTGTGAGCGGTGAGACGGCCGGTCTTAGAACAGAGATGCAGTATTATTTGAGATCATCCAAAGTTGTTTATCTGTACTGCGTAAGCCGGAAGATGAGTCAGACGAAAGGTCGCCGATGCTCACTTTGATGATTGTATGAGATGCTTGGAAGTCGGTTAACAGGTGGGCATAAGTCCGAGGATATGGATATATCTTGCATGGATAAATATATTATTCTGCATGCTTTGGAGAATATTCTCCAAGGAGAGATCCACGTGGCTGTAGCAAACGGGGATAATATCCCCACATTGTCCGATAGGTTGGCTATCTCCGTTGTCTGTAGATTATAAAGGAAAGGAAAGCGTGGGGGCATCAGAAACTTTCGTTTCTGACATACATTGCATGGTAGGGATATATAACGCTTCTTACGATTAGTCGGAAATCTGCAAGAAAATCCATATATATTGTTCGTATTGTATCAATATCCATGCAATGGTTGGGCATTAAATTGGTTGCATGTAAGATTGAATATGATGTACATTGGAGAAGTATCCTCGGTCCGCGCTGCTCTTTCAGCTGGTAACCTCGGGGAAAGTGTTTGCTCCGGTAGTGCTCATGTATGGTTACACCAGATGCAGGGCTGAATGACAATGCTGACATCTCACCGTATCCTCCCCTTGGCTAAGCGCGGTGCGAACCGACCATTGCGGATTGACATGCCGAGCATGCACCAATTGGAAGATATACGTGCAGCCACACCAATAAGACACGCCACGAACTTCTGTGCATATTAGGCGGATTCTAGATTTGCTATGGCGACCAATCGTATATTTTTGAAGGGCGAACATTAGACCGGCTGACTCTTCAAGTTCCTTCAACAGGGATAAGATTCCTTCCGTACCAGAGTGTCGGTATTTCATAGTAACCAATCATGAGATAGTCTAGGGTTGCATCTGATGACACGAATAAGAAAACCTCTTTCTTAATTTACTGTCTCCGTACAAGAAGTGGACGTGCTAGGGTATTTCAGAACGATAATAGTGTGATACTCAATTGGGACATGATTGAAGAAACTGGGAGGCCAGGGTGGAAGTGTCGTATTGCATGCTGGCACGAAGCAATTCCAGATACCTGGTACTGCCAATCAGATCTTTTTTACTGGGAACCCATTGGTGAGGTATGGCCAGAAAATAGGTCGCATTTCTTGGGTTCTTTATTCAACTGTTGGTGCCGGAAGTGAGGGATCAAGCAGCGACCAATGAATTTGTTGAGCTGTCCGCTCCATCA